GTCAGCTTTTACTTAGAATTATTAAATAGAATTATATCTATGAATATTTGCACTCACCCAAATTTTTCCTAATATGTCCTTTTAAATTGGAGATAAGATTTCAACATTTGGAAAAATGCAAATACAAAATTAGATGAATTTGCACTCATATGAAAGCTAAATAATCCACTGATTGATCCAGAATATTTGCCTCTATAGCCAATCTGTGTCTCCCAATGACACAAATATCACTGCTGTAATCAAGTTCATCAACCTGCTGCTGAACATTCTCTTTTCCTTTTTTTCTTCAATCTTTCCCAGCGTTATAGACTTCACAAGGGAGCAAGATTTCCACATAATTATTCTAAATATAATAATTTTGGATCCTGGCCACTTGTGCCTCAAGTGAGCACTCTGGAATTATTTGTTCTATTATCTGTTTCTTTTCTTGATTATCCATTCCCAAAACCCTTCCCAACACCAAAGTTCATAGGCATTAATAATCTTTCTATCCTTCTTCTTCTTGTTTTTGCTTCTACAGAACCATTACCTTCATGGTTCTGATCTTAGGTGCTATAGACACATCACAGCATTTTGTCCAGGTCCTTATGGCTATTATTCTAAGTCCTAGTCTCTTGGCTGCTTTACAATATCCTTTACAATTGATAGCTGCTTTTGTTCAGGACTTCAATACCTTCATCGCTAATTTTAAGACTATTTACTCTCTTTGTTATCATTGGTTTGGTCTTATTTATATTTAATCATAGTGGCATCTTTTCACTCTGCTCCTTTACTTTCATAGAGAATATGTGATTAAATCTTTCTTATTGTGGTTGTTGAAGTGACACTAAAAGTGATATCACCAAATTGAGTCCAACATCTGCACCTCTATAACTGTCTGGTTTGGTTCTGCAACCCAACAGGACAGACAGACTTCAGAGGATAATTATGACTACAGAAAAAACAATTATTACCAACCTGCCTTCAATCGAGGACCTGTATACTGCATGAGTCAAAAAGAGGGCTGTGAAAATATTTACAGACCCGTCACATCCCGGACATAAACTGTTTCAACTCCTTCCCTCAAAATGATGCTATAGAGCACTGCACACCAGAACAACTAGACACAAGAACAGGTTTTCTTTCCCCAAAGCCATCACTCTGCTAAACAAATAATTCCCTCAGCACTGTTCAACTATTTACAGAGTGTGCACTACTATTACTGTTAATCTTCTCATCACTCCTCATCGCTCCTTATCACCCATCCCACTTGTGATTGTAAGATTGTAACTTTGTCGTTTGTATCCTTACGATTTATATTGACTGTTTCCTAGTATGATTTGATTGTTGATTGTACCCTATGACTATCATTAACTGTTGTACGTTATGATTCTTGATTCCTAACGAATGTACCTTTTCTTTATGTATACTGAGAGTATTTACACCAAGACAAATTCCTTGTATGTCCAATCACACTTGGCCAATGAAGTATTCTATTCTATTCTATTCTATTCTATTCTATTCTATTCTATTCTATTCTATTCTAAATTTATCTTTCTTTGTAGAAAATGCCATATTTTTAAACAAACTTTTTTTTATAACATGTTCCTTCACGTTTTTCTTTTTTTCTTTCTTCATACCACTAAAACCTGTAGAGTCTATTGCCTGAACCAGCCTTCTATAATTGATGTTCGGCTATTATGAATTATTATTTATTTCTATCTTGCCTTTTTACACTCTCAAGGCACTGAACAAAGCCTAATTCTCCTGCCTTCTATTTGCCCCAACAACCCTGTGAAGTGGTTTTTGCTGAAAGAGAATGACGTTCAAAGTCACGCAGTGGCCATCATGCCTAAGGGAAGCCTAGAGGTCTCATATGTTCCTGGTTTCTAGACCAGCAATTTAACTACTATACCAATAAACAGCTTGCCTTGATAATATAATTTAAGGTTGGAAAATGCAAATCTACCTCTTTCTTTTGAATCTGGAGGGATTTTTTTTCCAAAAAAAGAGAGAGAAAAGAAGCTTGAAAGAGAATGCAACTTGTTACTTGATTTTTGTCAAAATAAGTCAGAACATCTAGCATTTCTCTAAATGTGGTGTAATTTGTTTTGGGTGGTTGTAAGTATTATTTTGCTGGCATGTGAAATTAAGATTATTGTACATTGGAATTTGACAACTGGACAATGTAAACGGATTTTCTATGCTATGAATTTGTTAAAAATAGATCTTGCTAGATTAGTGTTATTGCATTTGAGAAAGTTACTATATGACAGCTGATCAACAAACTAGTTAAAAACTGGCTGGATTGCATAAAATTTAAATATATACATATTGAACATGCTCATATGAGAATTCACCAGTGGGTTGTCATCAAATTAAGAAGAAGTTCTAGGAAATCAGAATCAAATGCCTCAATCAGAAGACAGATTTTGACTGAATATTAGAAAAAGAATCCTAAAAATAAAACAAGTTTAACACTGGAACCAATTTCTCAATAAAAGTGGATCAGAATATTTATTGCATTAGCTCAAGCCAAGGCTGGAAAGAAAGGTAATAAGGATTCTGTACCCAGAAGGTTTGGCCTCAATGACCCAACTATTTCCAACTCTAGATGTTCCCTTGGTGCTTATTTATAACCAATTTGATATATCCATTAGTCATCAGTTTATTCATGATATTGGAAGAACAAAATTTCTAAGTACTATCATTCTGCATATTGTAGCTAATCTCTCCAGAAAACCTATCTTTCTTATCTCTTTAACCACAGAAACAGGAAACACAGTAGAATTTTGCTGAGATTAGATATTTAAAAAAAAACTTTTCAAATATTTAATGTTACAAACGTGGATTTTCAGAGTAACTTTCTACATTTACATCAAATTTCTTAAATATTGTGATCTGAGTTGGATCCAATCTGAAAATTGTTTCAGCCATGCATCTGATGTTTGATAGAAATCTTTAATAGATGCTCACCCTGAATGAGAAGTGTGGTATACACCACATTCCTATAGAACTATTCTGACCATAAAAAGTATCCATGGACAGTCTGAAATAGGTTAGGTTGCTTTGTAGGAAAAGGCACTGCTACCAGGACATTATTTACTTAATATCAGCAGTTAACTCAAATACAGTATTATGATTTCTATACCCATGAAACCAAGACTGGCTGTTCCTGAACTATCTGAACACATTATGGCTATTGACCCAGTTAGCAGAAAATATTCTTATGACCATCTACAGTAGGAGTGTCAAATTCAAGGCCCAGGGGCCATATCCGGCCCACGGGATACTGAGATCTGGCCCATGAGGCCGCCCTGTAAACAGCAAAGGACTGGCCCATGGTGCTTCTGCCAGTGAAAACAGGATCCTGAGCTCCGGTTTCGGCTGCCACAGCCTTTTGCAACCCTCTGCCAGTGAAAATGGAGCTCGGGAGGGCCGCATTCACTGACAGAATTGCAGGAGGCCATGGCAGCTGAAAACGGAGCTCAGGATCCTGTTTTCGCTGGCAGAGCACTCAGGCCACCACAGGCGCCTCCAACACAAGTGACGTTGAAGTGGCCATGCCCACCCTAGCCCTCCAAAGTCAAACACAACCCTGATGCGGCCCTCAATAAAATCGAGTTTGACACCTCTGATCTACAGTGATTATTATAGGAGGGAGCCTTATTGACTTATGGAAGGGAGGAATAATTCTGCTTGCAATTGCCATTTCTTTGCCTATAATGTTGACTGGTCTAATTGGAGAGGGGAGGAATGAAATGGCTAGAAGGGCAACCTAAGACCAAATCAAAAGACAAAATCGTGACGTTGGTCTACTAGGTAATAGGGTATTTTCTAGTACCTTACTATCCTAGCCTTCATTTTCAGGTTTGGGGGGGAATGACTACACCCTCCAGACATATTTATTTTCTAAGCCTGTATGCAAAACCAAAGTATGGCCCAGATACATTTTGATAAATATTATGTCTGAAGTTAATGGGCTGCTTTATAGTATGTCAGCTTCCCCATTATTTATTTAATTTCAATGTTAAAAGTTTGATAGATGCCAAGGGCATTACTTTACCTTCTGCTCTGGATCCATTTCAAATTCTGAGATTGTGCACCCACAAATTGTTCTGTCCTTCCCATCTACTGATTTGTGCTTATTTCTTTGCACTACACATTCACACATTTTTGAATGGTGGGGATCTTTAGCAATCAAGATCTCCAAGAACCACATAAAGCAGGAAGGCTTCCAAGGATCAGAATCCTGTACAATCTGATAATTTCAAAAATCACTTTGAAATAAATAAGCACATAAAATTAGGTGTAAGCCATCATATTAAATGTAGGCCTATTTTTATCTGTTTCTGAGATGGGTGATTCACTGACCACATAGCAGCTATAAATGCAGTCTTAGATATAACAATTCCTTTCATGTTTTTACCATCAAAGAAAGTATGACAATATTCCATTTGATGACCTATTTAGGCAAATGAATGCTTCTTTATTATCGGTTTTAAAGTGGTGTTTCTTAAGCAGTGATTTATTAAAAGATTTAGAACTGCATCCTAAAATCATTTATGGAAAACTGCAAGGACATTTTGGGCTAATGGGCACATATCAGTAGAGCTTTCACATACTTGTTTATTGATCAATTACGATGTTTTGATGCATATGGTAATTTACAAAACAACCATTTACCTGAAGACAAAACTCATAAGGTTGCTCCTACTACTCAGCCATGATACTTCTATCAAAACAATTTGCCTTTTCTTGAGTGCATTTCCAACCAAAACACTGGAGAGCAGAGAACTTGGCAGGTGCCAAGCAAAGTAGTCTAGATATAGGGCTGCCTTTGGGCACCAGGGTGAGACTATAGGTTTGGAGAAACCCAAAGAACTCAAAACTTTCTTCTGAGCAGCCTGTACAGAATTGGTGAAATTATGCACAAAAATGATGCAAATCAGTAACTTTATAAAAGGTAATAATATTATACAAACTAATTGTAATGTTTTAATTTATTATATGTAGAGTTAATTAATCTGACAAGTTGAAAACAAAAAGGCACATAACTGCCAATGTTTCACTCGACATGGACTGATGTGGATATTCAAGTTGGATGTTGACATAATCAGAAAAGAATTTTAAGATTTTCATCAGAAAATAAAGGCTACATAGTAAAATTTAGCCTTCTTCATACCATATAAATTATTTCTTGATAATGAAAAGTAAAGGTGACAAACTGTTGAAAGGAAAGAGGCTAACAACAGTTAACTGTTTTCAATATTGATTTCAATCTTGGATCTCTGAAAAAATGTTGTAACTCCAACCTTACATTTTCATTTAGAAAAATAAGATGAGGAAAACAAAAAAGCTGCAACCCATGAAGGTTCATGTGTGAGACAACTGGATAAGAGGCCAGTTCACTAAGTCCAAGCAATTATTTTTTTGATACCTTGTTTTGTGCTCGTCAAATATTTCAGATAGCAATTATAGATCCATCAAACACCATCATCCAATACAAATACATTTGGATTGAACTATTCTTACAGAAACACTGAAAATTCCAGGTCTGAAATAGAAGATGATGCCCAATGGGGGTGTCTTATGTCAGAGGTGGTGAATGGACTAGGAAGTATATCCCACTCTCATCCTGTTTTATTCTGGTTTTAAACTTATCGTAATAGCCTTTGTTCGTTTTAATTTTTAATGTTTTGTGTACTTGCTTTTATGATGCTGTAAGCCACCCAGAGTCCCTTGACAATAAAATGGTCAGCATATAAAGTTAATGAATAAATAACAATAAATAACAAATTGAAAACATCCCATATTATATATCACACAGGATTTAAAAGCAGGGCTGTAGGGAGAAGATTGCAAAGGGACAAACTGTCTTAATTTTTTAAAAACAATGTCTCCACAATTCAGCATTTAGTGGATCCTGTCCCAACCCCATACCTAGCTCAGGGGAAGTTAAAGCTGGTAGCAACACATACTAGTTACCAAATTGGCCAAAATATTTTTCTTAGTATGTGCATGAAATCCATTCTGGAAATCCTATAATAAAGCCATTAAGGGTATATTTCATAACTTGTGGTGCGCGTTCTGTTCCTTGAGAACTTTTATGATACAGGTAGTCCTTGACTTACAACAGTTCATTTAGTGATTGTTCAAAGTTACATCACTGAAAAAGGTAATTTATTATCATTTTTCACACAACTGTTGTAGCTTCCCCATGGTCACATGATTTACATTTGAATGCTTGACAACTAACTCATATTTATGACTGTTGCAGTGTCCAGGAATCATGTAATCCTCTCTTCTAACTTTCCAGAAGATGGAATGATTATGAATGCTACAATGCAGCAACTATGTCATAACCACATTTCTGGGTTGTAATATATTCATTCAAATTAGAGAGATTAAATACAGGCAGGAGTGCCAGAAATCTGAATACATAAATATTTCCAGGAACACCGCGCTAAGAAAATGGTACACTCATTCTGTTCGGCAGACAGAATTAAATAAGCAAAACCCTCATTTATTGTATTCAAAATAAGCAATTGCTTTGTTTGGACCCAAAGTGAAAGACCAAAATTTCCAAAGATAATCAATTTGTTACATTAATGAATCAGTTGGGATCATTTTCAGATAAACCAGACTGAATGGTTCAGCAGCAATTTTTCAGTCATTACTTCATGTTGTTATATGAACATTAACGAAATGAAGTAATGACTGAAAAATTCCTGTATGATTTTCTTCCTCAACTAAACCTATCTCAAAAAATTGATTTTTGCAGAGTTGAAAATGTAATTATCTGACCTACACATAATTTCTGGATTGATATGCAAATGAAGACACCAAGATTTTCTGTTTCTCGAAATGTTTCAATACAATTTAAATGTATGAGTACATAGTTTGAATATGTCTTTTAAAATAAAACAAAATGTTGAATTAACTGAAATTTATGTTGAAACAATGATACTGCAAGAAACATGAAAATGTGGCACAGATATAAACATTTCTAATTAACATTTTTTTGTTATACAAAAATATTACTCAATTTTAAAGCATGTACAATCCTATCACACAAATCTAACCATTTTTAAAATATTACAGAAAAGTCAAGGGTTTTTGCACAAATCCTATCTTTTTAATATAATAATAGTAATATGTGAAAATAACTAATTATATCCGGCATATTTAACTATAATTTTTCATTCTAGTTTAAAACTATATTTTACAATAATGCAATAATTACATCAAGAAAATTTCTGAATTATTAAAGTATAAGACCAAAAATACATTGCTTCTAGAACTTGCTGGATTCAAACATTTCTCTTACCAATAGTCACACTGACTACAAATTATGAAACTTGGTGTCCAACAGCTAGGGAACCATATCCCTAATTCAGCTTTTTCAAATTACCAGAGTTTGGGGAAGAATTAGTAGTCCCTAAACATAATATTTAAAACAAATTTTACTCTTAAGTTTGGCTAATGATTCTCATGTACAAAATCTAAGGCTAGCTTATGATTTAAACTCAAGAAAATGGATTGCCAAGAATGCATCTTCTCTGAAATTTTGAACTATCACACGAGTAATACATGCTCATGTGCTTTATTATATAAGTCATGTTAATATTACAATCTGAAATGCAATAGACTTCAGTTTTAAGCTAGTCATCATGATATAAATATTGAGGTAAAGGAGAATGGTGGGCAATACTGAAATGCCAAAGTAATTATTTGAAAATTGATTATGACAGTAATATTTGTGACTGTATTGTTCATAACTTCATAATAGAAACTGCTTTAAAAATTTCCCTTACTTGGTTTCTCCCCAAATTTTCTGAATTATAATTTCCAGAATTCCCCACAACATGGCTATTGGTCCTAATGGCTGGGAAGTATAGGAGTAATAATCTTGAAAGATCATCCAATTGGGCAAAGTTAGTTTAGTATTGTAGAATAAAAAAATTGTATTTGATCTATCAAAAACTGATGGTCCATGCTGGAACACAGAGATTAATAATAAATAATCCAACTAAAAGTTATATATATATGTAATGAATGAAGATTTCTAAAAAATATATTTAGGCTTGCTGAGTAATACAAGAATAACACAAATAATCCTTTATAGTTGTTTCATCTTTTTTTGCTTTCACATAACTTTTTCATTGGCTATGTTTAATGTTGCATTTCTGTTATAAGATCAAGGACTTCTTGAAACGTATAATATGGCACCAAATCACTGCTTTTTAAAAGTGATATGAAGTCCTTTGGAATTCATTAAGTAAAAATAGCTTATGATGTAGTCTATTTGTTTGTAATGCTTTTTTGAGAGTGAGGTAGAATGCATATTTTGGATAAGTTGATATTTCAAATCAAGTACTTGAGTATTAAACCAAGTCAAAAAAGAGTATTTGAATTTGCAGCATTCTTAAATCAGATCCTTTCCCCTTATTGGTAAAAAAAAAACCTCGGTATTTAACAATTTTTTTCTAGCAAAAGTTAAAATACCCTACTATAAAACAAATTACAAGCACAGCAAAATTCAATCACATCTTGCCCCAGAAATTTTCTTTTCTTCTTTGAGCTCGTTCTAGAACCTGAGCTGCAAGAGAACCAGAAGCAGCAGATCGAGCAGACAACTGGGACAGTCTGTCATCATCATCTATAAGTACAAGGAACAATAATGATATGAAAATTAGTGTTATTATGAAATAAACCCATAATATAGATAGCACAAAACATTAGTGAAATAAACATTGTCTAAAGTCAGAAAGCGATCTCTAACTAGCATACACTACACTGCATGGGTTATCATGAGAGGACAAAATGGGCCAATGAATAACACTTCAATATTTTGTTTTGGAGAATATTTAAGAAGTTAAAAAAAAGAGAGGGAAATCATTTAAATAAAACAGAACTGAAGAACAATCAGAAATATTTTGCTAATGATTTGATGGTCAAAGCAAAATAAAGTAGTGAAAACTGTATTTACTTGCAGGTATACATGGGGACTTCTGATGAACAATCTGATAAATTCTAGAAGGTTCTGAACACAGTTCTACACAGACACAGAATCAATTTAGATGAATTATAATGGTCAAATGAAGCCAGATCTTGTAAGGTATATACAGTAAAACTTGGTAACCACCATAGGCAAACATACATTATAAAGATTCACCATGAGGACTATGCAAAATAAATGTGTGCATTAAAAATAACCTGACTTCTATGATATTCAAATCCTGAAACCCCTACTGCTAATGATCCTTGATTATTTCATTATCTTTGCTTTCCTATTTAGCAAAGGTATACAAGTAGTCCCTACTTACTGACCATTCATTCAGTGACAATTCTAAGTTGCAACAGCACTGAATGCGTGATACTTGTAACCAGTTCTGGAAGTTCCAGATGTTCTACCACTACTGCGGTCATATGGTCACAATTCAGGCATTTGGTAATCAACTCACACTTAAGATATTTACTGTGCCCCATCATCATCACAAAAAGTCAATGGGCAAGCTGCAGGAAAAATGGCAAGTCGCACCAGTAAGTGCCCTTCGGCTTCCCTGTAGCACTGACCTGCAGCCTTCTTGCTCTCATAAGCTGCACCAGGCTTTTCTTAGCACTGCCTCCCCATGGAGTTCTTCACACTCCTTACCTGAGCCTCCTGCAGCTTCCTGCTTAATGACCCACACATTTTGGATTTATGACAGCAACTAAAACTGCCAGAATTTTTGTTGCTAAGTGAGGCACTCATGTGATTATGCTATGACATCGCTTAGCCAACAGCAATCCCAGTGCCAATTGCCATTGAAACCCATGTACGACCTGTAATGTCTGAACAATTATCATCACAAAAAGTTTAGGAAAATGGAAGGCATAGATAAGGATCTGATAATTCTAAAATGTTTCAATATTTTCAGTAGCTTTGCTAAACAATTTGAACAAGCCCCATGTTTTCCAGTCTCAACTGTCAGAAAGTATGAAGTTGCAGAAGATCTTTCTTTTTCTTTCTTTCAACATACAAATTTTGTGTATGCATATGCATGGATCAGATTCAGGCAAAGTATTGTCAAATTTTCCCTTTTCTTATTTAGGGGTATTGCAGTCATAACAATTTGCCCTGTAAGATAAAGTTATGCTTTACAGTGCAAAAATCAGCAAATGTTGATTTTATTTGACTGCAAGAAATCATGACTGTACATAAAAATGCCAAGTTACAAAGAAAATTACATTTCAAATACTGTATTTCCTCTTTAGTGGTTATGACACAATTTTCTAACCCACCAAATAGTTCCAGATATAAAAATTGTGCCAAATCTGTATAAAGTAATTTTATCTTCTCGTGAATATTTTTAAACTCACTGCCACCCATTTTATATTGCTCTATTTTCAGAAAAGACTAATCTTGCCAAATGAGGCAATTCAGCAATCTTACATATCAATCTTAGAGCATATGGTCAAAAGGTACTATTGAAATAGTTTTTGAAGGTTTTTAAACTGGAGCAGGATAGTTTTTTCACCCACTTTATATGTTCTTTGTTGCACAATTTTGAAGCTACTGTTCAACTATCATTTTCTCATTGGTGCCATCTTTATCTTTAAAAGGATACAATAGCATCTTGGCTGATTTTCTACTATTTTTATTTTTTCTTATTCCGGTCTTTGTAATAGCTTGCAGGCTGTCAGTTAAAATTAATGTCAAAGTCCTGGCTGTAATTGAAATCCTATATGTGCTGTTTGGGAGTGCCAGTGTGCCCATGGACATTTATTATTATCAAGTATCATATTCCATCTTTTCATATTTATTAAAATTATTTCAGGCTTAAAAAAAACCTGGAAGTTGGAATGCTATAAAATAAAGTATCCATCAGCCAGCAGGTTTTTTTTATTTCGAAGAAAACATTTTGATTCCAAATGTCTTCCTTAAGCTTTGTTAGAAGATAAACTGGACAGTAGCTACATCCATATTTTTATCACAAAATTACACTATCTATGAAAGTTAGTAATCCTTATGAATTTAATAAGCTTTCAAATGCTTAGTTAAAAAAAAGAGTTATGAAATCACTCCAAAACTTTTCAAATGAGAAATTTCCATTTTAACCATGTCTAAAAGACGTAAACCTTGCTATTAAAGAAATTTCCATTCCATTAACATTAGTAGTAAGCAAGCAATACTTGTTTAGGTATGTCTTGCCTATCTCTTACCAAGATATAATAATTATTACTACATGTTTTATTTATTATTTAAACAATATCTGAAATTTATTAACCAACCTTCATCATGATAGTTTCTCTCCTGAAGGGGTAACTGTAACCAGCTCCTTTTGGGGCTTGCAATAGTACCTATTAGAAAAAGTATAATTTACTGCATTTTATCAATTCAGAAATACATTATTTTGTAAAAGTAAATTAAATTAGAATGTTATCTAAATTATAGCAAATTTTGACTCAATGTTATATATATCACTATATGATAGCATATAGGGATGACAGAATGATGTACAGTAGATTTTCAGAATAGGTTGTTTAAAGAAAACATTGCCAGCTGCTTAGTAAAAAAATAGTTATGAACACTCCAAAATAGATCCAGGATGGATCATATCCTGATATGCCACATATTTCCTAAACCTGACCGTAACAAGTTGCTCTAAGGTTTTTGAAAGTTCAGCACAACTGGAAGACGCTAGACTGAGGAAACCAGTCTACATAGCTGCAAGCATTTATCTGAATCTAAAACCAATAGTAACTAACTTTCTGCCTATGTACTGTAAGTTATATTCTTCTTTTTATCATTATTCTTCAAAGGATAATCACATTATCAAGTACTGTTCGATGCAAACCTATATTTCAATTTATTGCAATTTGGTTATTGGTTACTGTTATTGCAACAAAATATTAAAGTTATTTTAAATAAATAGGTCAATCTAAAGAACTATAACGATGTATGATGGAAACCAACCATTATGCTGAAACTCTGGATCCCGGAGACTTCCTTGAATGCGACACAATGGACTCCAATATGGTACAGCAGAACCCTTAGCCAGCTTTCTTTCTGACACTGTAGGCATCTGCTCTGATGTTGCACCGTTTCTTGTACCAGAAGTATCTTGATTGGAGTACTGATCTGTTCGTAGAGGCAAAGGGTCCAAAGTTTTTAGCCCTGCAGCTGGGGAATTAGTCACAGTCTTTTCTTCATCCTAAAATGCCAAAACAAATATTCCCATTGTAAATAATTCTGTTATTTGCTATGATCCCTAATGTTAACAAAACACCCAAAAAGCCGTCGTAATAATTGGTATTTTAACAAGTGAAAACAGTTTAAAGTAATCAAATGAAAGCTATCAGCCATGCTTCTGTTTTGTATGCCTTATCAGTAACTCAAAGAGATGTGCAAAACTTTTTGAATTCTAAAGTCTTTCAAACATGAAATACCTCATCCCAAATTTGAAACTAAAAAAACTCCGTTTCAAATTCAAAATGATCTGATCTAAATTTGAAATATCTATTCCAACTTTAGCAAAAGGTTTTCAAGCTTTGAGACAACCACATTTTGTGCTCAAAACAGTTGTTTTGAGTTTGAAAACTTCAAACATAAAAGCAGCACTCGAACACTTCTGGTAAGGTTGAAATAAATTACTTTCAAATTTTAAATAAAGGCATTGTGAACCTGGAAAGTTTTGCCATCTCTAATAGAACTTGTTAAAAAACTTTGTTATATAATTTATTTACTATAAGGTGCCTTACAGTAACTGCTTTTTCTGTAGAGATTTCATAAATCCTGCACGTAGTTGTGTGCTATAATTTATATAGTAAATAAATATATCATTGTATTACATATAATTTTTCAGAGTATGAATATGTAATAACCAAAAAGAATTATGGATTTTGCAATGAACTGAGACACACACACACACACAGTTCTTCTCCCTTTCACTGCTGGTCCTTGCTGAAGACAGCTTGCCAGAGGTGGGGAGAAGGCACTGGGATACAGCAGTTGGAGGAACCCTGTGTTCTGATGTTGATGCATAGAATGTTGATGCCTGCAGAGATCACAGTGGGATAGGATTCCACCCACTGCCTCCTCCCTCCCTTTGGCAGGTGAAGCTATGTGCACATGTCCTTGGTGCACATGTCCCAGATCTGTGCCCTCACCCATGCCTTGAAACTCAGACCAGCAGTAGAAAAAGACAACAAAAGTCAGGGAAGAGGATGGAGTGGGGAAAGGCACAGATGAGGAAGAGACAGGCAGGTGGGAGAATAGACACCAGAGCAGCATAATGTGACCATGGGATGCTGCAACTGGTCATACATGCAGGCCAGTTGCAAGTGCCCAAATTTTGATCATGTGATTGGGGGGGGGGGGGCACTGCAGCAGCCAGAACCTCAAGGACCAGTCGTAATTACCTTTCATTCAGCACCATTGTAACTTTGAATGGTCACCGAACAAATAGTCATAATTGAGGACTACCTGTAATCTCCAAACAGAATGAAAAAGGTGACTCAAGCAAAGAGGACATGAAAACCTCCAAGAATGATGCTAATAGGAAATACAAATAAGGATGCCTAGTAGAATTATGAAGTTAAAGAAATTTTGCATGAGAATAAAATGTATATAAAAGAATTGTTTTTTCAAAAAGTAAACATGAGAGAAATGTGCATAATGTGCACATAGACAAAAATTATTTACAAAGAACGTAATCAAAGAAAGCAAGGAACAGTTAAGATTTAAAAAGACATTAAAAACGTAGAGCTGTTTAAAAAAACTGTTTAGGAAGCTATGAAAAGGACTAAGAATACTCCAGCAATGGGACTGAGTTAATAACAAGTTAGAAAAAGCATGGCTTTTTGAATTCTTTACAGCTCCTTTACCAGAAATGACCACAGAAAGCGTGTTTTCTTCTATGTAATTAAATACAATATTGTTCTGTGTCAGATTTCTCCTTCTCATGTGTATGTGCATATGGTCCACCCTATGTCATTGGTTGAAGGTAAAATGGAGGGGGTCAACAGCTTTCTCCAAAAGTGATATATTGAAAACTTTTTTCCCTGCAGTATTTTTTTTCATCAGCTGCAAGTTTATTTTTTAAATTTAATCTTTTTGCCACCTTCTCCATTCATACCAATTTCGTTCTTTTCTATTCAGTTTTCAGACAGTTATTTTGCTGACAGAAGTACACAGTCACCCTGGATGATTTATCAATAACGACATAAAGTGTAAATATACAAATGCTTGTTAAAAGGAATTTTGTTTGGGAATGTGAAAATCCATGTACTTTTCTATAATGATGCCATGTTATTGAGAACCTGAATGATTTAAACAGTATGCTGTATAACACAAGTTTACATTTGAAAAGTAATTTATCAATATAATTAACACAGAAAATGGAGCCAATAAGTGTAAGATATACCTAAATGATAAAACCAAGCTAGTGGATTAATTTATGTAAGTTGGAAAAATATTTAGTAAATTAAAAAATAGGAATATTGATAAATGGAAAGATTTGGAAATGTAGTTAAAAAGTGTGTCTATTTCAAAAAATAAAAAAACAAACAAAATCAACTGATTTTTATGGTGCTGTCGATTTTGTTATACTGAAGTGACAGTTGTATATGTCTATTGATGGTACTATGGATATAGGTTCCTGGTTATAACCAGTACAAAATGTTTGTTTAGGCAGTTTGATCATAACGAGAAAGTAAATGTCTATCAAACTATACAACCAATATGTGGAAGAAGAATAAATAGATTAACAGCCAGGATAAAATTCAGGTCATAGTTGCAAAGACTTAGTGAGATTGTCAAAATGAAAGAGGTGAGATATTGAAGAAATATAAATTGATACAAAAGTCTGAGGAAAGCAATAATGGTTTGCCAAGATTTAAAAAATGAGACTTATGATAAAGGGTGTTGGAGTAAACATACACATTATTTCCTAAATCATTCTTCTGCATATCACAATTTATAATCAATTAAGTCAACTTTAAAACAGGAAATAAAATGTTTCAGATTTCATTATAGCCATATATAATTTCCCCAGTGCTACAGGTAGTCCTTGACTTACAACTGGCATTTAATGGTAGTTTGGAGTTATGGTGGCCTTGGAAAGGGTGCTTTACAGTCCATAAAGCACTTCCGGTCATTAAAAAATGATGCACTATCCCCACAGTGGTCACAACTGCATTTTAGGCACTTGGCAACCAGTTCACATTTACAACTGGTTGCAGTATCCTACAATAACAAAACTGCAATTTGCTACGTTTTTTTGTCCGTTTGGGGCAAAAAAACCCACTTATGACTGAGTTTTAATAACTGCCATAAAATCTACGGTAAAATCAGGTCGTCACATGGATGCTTCGACTTACAATCATCAAGACTTATAATCAATTGTGGCCATACGTCAAGAACTACCTATACTACTTTACAGTTTCTTATTTAACAAAATTATAATTTCCTTTGCAATTTTAAATTTTATAGGAAGCAAAAAAGGACATTACAAATATTTATTACAGCAATTATACCTTACCCTGTTAGTTTTTCCTTTTATTTGTTCTCTTGAAACTTGACTATTTGCCAAAGACTGCTTTTCTGAAGATTCCTTTTCTATTTGCAGTAAGGATGTATGCTTCCCTTTCTGAGGAGATACTAGAATAGCTCCTCCTAAAATAAAAATGAAGAATATGATTGCTAATTGTGGATATTTTATATATTATCTCCAATATGTAAGATACTATACCACCTGAATATACAGTAGAAGTATAGAAATGCAAAAGGGAGGCTACTAAATTCATATTCTGCTTGTAGACTTCCCAGGGGCACCTAGGTAGTTACTGTTGAGAGTAAAAAAGATGACCTTGATTATCAACTTCCTTATTTTCTACACTCTCATTGGAGCAGAATATTGGGCTAGACTGGCTTTAATCAATTAATCATCACAATTTATGCTCTTACCGGTATTAAAATTAATTTAACATAAAATGAATTCTTAAGGTGCATGTTAATTCACATTTTAGGAAGTGAAATAAAAACTAGCAGGCTTTTTACCTGTAGCTGGGGTTGTCAGATCATGATGTGTTCTTTGGATTCCACCAAGAGTTTTAAGTTGTGGAGTTGGAAGCCTACCACATCCTCTTAAAACTTCTGAAGAATCTGCCCTGCCTTCTGAAGAACTTACATTTTCCGTGGCAAAATAAATAAGAAATGTCATAAAATATAATTATTCAATGAACAATTATTTAAAATACTGAGTCAGCATAAGTACTGAATTATTTGAGTCACAAACAAGATACCACAACAGAGTTTCCAAGTTATTATCCCCAATCTCTGAATTCTGTTTCTTTTTTTGAATTTATAATTGTTTTTGAAGATTATTTGGGATTTTGTTATAAAATCTAGAGTAAATTGTGTCATTCAATTGAAATAATTAGACTGATTTTCAATCATCAATCTTGTCATTTTCTAAATTGTGCTTTCTCCTTTATTACATCTGACGAATACAACTGCAACCATTTTTTACATTGTTACTTTACTGTCCTACAAATGCTTATTAAATGTCACCCCAGACAATTTTCAAATGATACATTTATCTTAATAAATATCTATGAAATAATGATTATGCAATTTTTCTTCACATGTTTAAACAGATGTTACTTTAAAAAAACATTGGATTAAGTCAGTGAATCATCTTTAATTTAGATAAGTCATTATTTATAGCTGCATTCAAATCAGAAAAAGGTTGCTTTATCCATGTTTGCTAATCAGAATTAAAACAATATATGAATGAGTGTGCTATTTGAATATTTGCTTAAGGTATATTACCTATTAGAATTTATATACACAAATTCTAGCTCAAGTTATTTGACATATTACATTTAATCTTATTTATATCAATGCATCAGAGCTCCCCATTAATGGTGAAATTAACATTGCTCCAGCTACCATGTTTTCCCCAAAATAAGACTTACCCTGAAAATAAACTCTAGCTTGATTTTTAAGTGTGTGCCTAATATAAGCCCCACCCCAAAAATAAGCCCTAGTGAAGGGTTGAGTGTCGTCAGGATAGGAGGTGGCAAGCGCTGCCGGCTAATGGTGTCCAGCAGCAGCCGCAACCCGCACAGTACAGGTGAGTTGATTCCCTGTCCAAGCAGCAAGCAGATACAGAAATGGGGGGAGGCACACTATCTGGATGCGCCAGTTGGACTGTGGGAAAGCTGAGAGTCAGTGGGCCAAAGCAGGCAGCCAGCCACAGGAGGGTCCTCTTCACATCTCTCAGCTTGCCTGCGGCCCGCATGGCGCGTTGGGATTGTCTGCCTTCCACCCAACGCCTCTGTCTCCATCTGCCACTAGTGTTGCTGTATGAAGATGAGCTTCCCGTGGCCAACCACCCGCTCCAGCCCACTGACTCTCAACTTTCTTGCAACCCATGTGGCATATCCAGATCGCCTGCCTCCCTGCATCTGTTGCTTGGGCAACAATTCACCTGCACTGTGTGGGCTATGCAGCCTGAATGCGATGATCAAGGGACTAGCTGTCTGCAGATGCCACTGGATACCGTCCATCACTGCACACTTGCTACATCTTGTGTGCGTGCTGGGAGATGGGCACCCGTCTGGGCTGATCACCCTGAAACCCTGTTTCCTTGAAAATAAGCCCTAGTGTTTATTTTGGAGCCCCAAAAATATATATAATTATTTTTGGGGAAACACAGTAAGAGTTGTTTAATCATAGAACTAAATAGCCCCGTAATTTCAAACAGGAAAAATAATCTTTCAAATATTTACTTTTGCTGATTGTCTATACTGGCATCCTTGCCATTTTTTCCCACTTCTTTAACTTCATCAATTTCTTGCTTTTCTTTTTCTTTGCATTCTCCTAATATAGGTGATATATCTTCTTGTTGCTCATCATCATGTGATTCATCCCAAACTAGGCATCGCTTGACAGGAATAGTAGAAGCATCTGATACACCTAAATTTCCAATGTTATTTTGCTGCAACTGTGCAGATTGTGCCAATATTTTAGGACCTGAAGATAGTTTGTTTTCAGGGACCCTAAATAAAGAATAACAATTTGTTATATATAAGATTTAGTAGCCATTTATATATTGTCAGAAATATTTGGGATCTTCCTCAAAGATATGAGTAATGGCAGTTATATCAACTTAAATACATTTATGTTTCAATTATACTCATCTGCAAATTTAATAATCAAGCAATCCAAATGAGAACTATACAACTACCGATAGCTATCTGACAGTAGAGGTTTGAACTGAAAATCAAGAAAAGATCTCCATGTCACATGGAAACCAGATTTTCAAAGAAGTTTTGCAATATATGTTAGCAATCTGCTAAAATAAAGGAAAGGGAGGAAACAGTTATCGGCTTGACAATCTTTGTGAGTATCTAAAATCTTTTTGAATTCTCTGTACACTTACTGTACACGTAAATGCACACATAAATACAATACTCAAGGACTTCTCTATTTTACATATTCTTAATCAAATTTACTTGTGAAAAAAATGCAAAAGTCAAGAAATATTTAATGATATGCTCCTATTGTAGTTAAAATGTTTTTGGATGTAGCCTGAACCTTAATGACTTCATGGATATATTCATGCAGTAAATGATTGATATATCATCACTTTCTTTTAAGATACTTTTTTTAAAAAATTCCAGTCTAGCCTATAGCTAAGGGATTGTCTGGAGGTGTTCCATCTAAATATTAACCAGGTACAGCCCTGTTTAATTTTCTATCCTAAAATACCACATTTTTAAAACACAACCTTCCATGTCTAATTTCTTACCCTGCTAAGTCAAGTGCTCTGATATTGTTGCTCATAGTTTCTTCCACACTGGATTCAGAAGACAAATCCCAGAGTCTATTGTTATCTGACAGGATTTGATTTAAATGATCTCTGGAAAAGTGAGTTCCTTGTATCCTCTGCTTATAAGCTTCTGCTTTTTCTCGAAGTTCTTTCACCTGATTATGAAGATTTCACAATGTTATTAATGGAAGGGGTTTTTTGGTCAACTTTGTTGGCTAATTAACAACCACCCACAGCACAGAACAGCATATCACAGACAATGCACAAACATTGAAGCACAAATATCGAAGGAAAAGATATTTTTAAAGAATGCTTCTTTCAAGCAGTCATGCCAACAATCACTGGTCAGTAAATTACTCAGCAAGCATCAAAAGGACTCCAACTATGCATATGCTTAATATAACAATAGGTTTTTTTTACAGTTCATAAATTTTATGATTTGTAATATAATTTTTATAATTGCTCCAAACATGAAAAACGTAGACATAACCAACCTCCATATACCACATGGTATTTAGGGTATTTTGAGAACCCTGAGGAGAGGAATACAAAAATATTTACTTACCAATTTTGTATTAATATTACAAATTTACTTCAAAATCTAAAATGATTTCTTCCATTTTGCTATGACTATATTATTATCCTGCCTCCTAGAGTTCACACTACAGAAGTGTAATTCAATTTAAAATATAGCATATCTAATGAACAAGTATTACTCCAATCCATCAGATTGAATAAATATTTAACAATGGTAAAATGATGCATAGTACATTTTCTGAATAATGAACAGCAACAACTGATCTCCATTTTTACATACATATTGTTATTTCCATAGCATCAGTCTACCAAACTAAATAAACAGTTGCTCCTCTGATACTGTTCCATAAATCTCATTTTTACTACTGGTTTCCTGGGGAATACTGACTTTAGCCAAGGTAAGAGAAATTGAAGATTTCTGGATTTTGTTCTGTGGTTCTTTGTTATTTGTGAGGGAGTTTGAATTAGCTTCAATGGTGGTTGTTCCACAACAGGCCACACCCCTTTTATTATTTTATAACCTAGCACAACTATTTCATCAAATCAAATTCTGTTTCACAATACCCAAGAATACAAATAAAGCATTTCTTTTTGAATGATTAAATAAGCTCCATCCTTTGCAAAACTCAAACAGCCGTTTCAGAAGCTGCCGATGGTGGTTTCCTTTACATGGCTCTCCTCAAAATGTGACAACAGCATTTCTCATTTTTTTAAAAAATTGCAGACTACAGTACTATAACAGAAACAGAAACTAACAGACGTCCCAAGAGCATCAAAAACAGCACAATAGTTATATTAAGATTAGTTTCATAGCATTAAAATGTTTAGTGTCTCCTACCAATTTCCTATATCATTTTGTAGATTTTACATTAAATGTTACTATATTAACTCAAAATGAAGATTATTAATTATTAAATAAGATTAATTATTATTTATGGTAGGAGAGAGAATTATTGAAAAGTTTAGAAAGTCTTGAACACTGGGAATGAGCAAGAAATGCACATTGCTACAGAACCTGCTAGAAAGCTTTGATTCCCAGGGACATTATCATTCTGCTCTTTACTGTCTTTACTATCCAGTTATTTCACACTGTCCACTTATTTCTCCCCCTCACTCTTTTTTTTTGTGGGAAGAGAGGGAGCAGTGAGATGGCCTAGTGGTGAACACGCTCACCTCCCACTTGGAAGGTTTACAGTTGAATCCTAGATAGCAGTAGATTTTTCTCTCCTTAATTAATTCTTAATATTCAATTAATGTGAATTTATGTGATTCTGCTCATTTTGTAATATTGTCTTTACATAAGGGGAGATCTTCAAAAATGGTTCACATAGGATCACGTAGGATCTTTCTCTATGTTTAAATATTTATTTATTGTCTTCTTCTTTGTCGATGATCCTAAATTCAACATCATCTTTTCAATAAACCAGTTGATGAGAAAAATTTCAGAGAACTTGCAAAAGACAGTTGTTTTTTTCAGATTGCTCTAAAAGCTAATTATTTCCTCTATTCAATAACAAATAGAATGCCAAAGTTTAGGCACATAAAAAATATTAAAAAGATGTAACACATGAAACTAATCTCTATTTTAGTCTTCTTGATTACAGAGATCCAGTTCCAACTAATTCAGGAAACCCTCTGTAACTTTTAATGGAGAAATATTTGAAAACAAAACTGCTTATTCAGTAACTGAGTCCAATCTTGTTTTCTGTAGATACATGAAAAGTAAAATAAAATCAACAAAATGACAAAAGCACATTTACCAATCAAAACTGGAAAGAGCTGCCTTAGACCAGGAGTGGGCTTTAAAATTTTTAGCAAAGGATTCTCTGCCTGGTTGCTGAGTGGGCATGGCCATGGTGGGCGTGGCCTAGTCGGCCTCCTGCACCATGGGGGAGCGTTTTTGCCCTCCCTGAGCTTCGGAGGCTTTCCTCGAGCCTCCGGGAAGGCAAAAACAGCCTCCCTGGGCTCCGGAGGCTCTCTGAAAGCCAGAAAAGGGTCCATTTCCAGCCTTCCCAAACTTCTGGGAGGCCCGTTTTTCACCCTCCCCAAGCCGCCGCGAGTGCCCTGTACTTACCTGCATCCAAAATGGGCCGTGTGGGAACTCCTGGGAGGGGAGGGGTGGGATGGGCGGAGCCAGTCAGGAGTGGGATTCAGGGGTTCTCCGAACTGCATAGAATCTTAGCTAGGGGCTCTCCCGAACTCCTGCAAACCCCCAGCAGCCCACCCCTGCATTAGACCTCAAATCAAATGAGGGAGATATTATAGTAGAAAAACAAAACAGCAGCTGATTAAATGCAATACTTAAGTTCTACCACAGTGGTTCTCAACCTTCCTAATGCCGCGACCCTTTAATACAGTTCCTCATGTGGTGGTGACCCCCAAACATAAAATTATGGCTCGGTTCCTAAGATCATCAAAAATATGTGTTTTGCGATGGTCTTATGCGACCCCTGTGAAAGGGTCATTTGACCCCAAAGGGGTCGCGACCCACAGGTTGAGAACCACTGTTCTACCATATTCAGTAAAAATACTCTATTCTACATTTTTCTGCCATATAATACTATCTATAAAATATACAATAGCATGTAATAAAAGGACAACTTTAAAAAGATGAAACAATATCAAAACTTTCAAATGAATTCCATAGAAATAATCACATACTCACTTGATTAGGTATATTTTTTCTGACATGAACCCAGGCTCCTTGTTTATAAATGTATTGACTAGGAGACAAGAATTTCGATCTATATTCTGTGTTCATTTTCCTAGAAAAACACAGTTGAAAGTAAGAAGACTTAAACATTACTTCGTAATTGTATAGGGAAATAAGAATGCTAAATATCAAAGTAATACATAGAATAAAACAGAAATTCAGACAAACAACATTGTGTGGGAAGACAGTGTCTTCAACAGAAATTAATTTTTCAAGACAGATATATAGGTCTCAAGAATATCAGGAACGAGACTAGATGTTCAAAAGGTTGACATACAAATAAACATATGGGCAGATCATAATCCAAGAACAGGTGGAAGGGACAAAGGAAGAAATTGAGATGGACATTGAACCAGGATAACTAAAGGATAAGGAGTTTATACAAAGACTTTTTCCTTAAAGAAAATAGAAAAGAAACATTACTACAAAATGTGTGGGACACGGCCAAAGCATATATGTGAGGATCAGCCATAACATCTATAGCAAAAAGAAACAAGAAAAAGAAATGACAACAAAAATACTACAAGAAGATCTTAAAAAGATGGAAATAGAACTGCAGAAAACTCCACAAAAGAGCACTATAAAGAGAAAACGGAATTAACAAATTAACAATGGAATTAACAATTTTTAATTAATTAAAAATTGAAAAAAAAAGTCCTTTGAGGATTTAAACAAATTGATTTTAAAGTTTATTTGGCAAGCGAAAAAAGCAAGAATAAAACTGACAATGTTACAAGAAGATAAAAACAAGGCAGGATTTGGGTTATCAGAGTGGGAGCTGTATTACTACGCCTCAATGCTCACATGGCTGAAAGAATGGATAAATCTGAGGAATAAAAGAGTACTGTCCTTAGAAGGACATGATTTACAATTGGGGTACCATGCGTTCATGTGGTATAGGAAAAATAAAATACATAGTTATTTTCAAAGACATTATATTAGAAATGCTTTGTTCTCAGTATGGGAAATAATTAAAAAAAAAACATTATATGAAAATACCAATCTGGCTATCCAAGATGGAAGCACTAGTTCATCCAAATGTTGTTGACTTGGGAAAAATTATATAATTATAATTATATTATTATATAAATTATAACAATATTCTAAATGAACAAGGGAAATTAAAATCGAAACAAGAACTGGAAAACCAAGGAATTGATTTAGCCTGGTATAGCTTGGAATAGTTTGATTTAGCTATTCATCCAAATACAATCAAGATACAAGAAAGATGCAGAATTGTATGGATTTTATAAAGAACCTTTAGAACTAGACCAGATATTTTTAGGGACGGTTCCCAGCCTGCACATGTGCAGAGCTGCCAAAAGGAAGGAACAATTAGGAACTCAGGTTCGACATGGGAGTAAGGCCACAGGAGGACAATGAATGGGCCCTCCCATCAGGATTAAAAGAGGAGCAAAAGGGGAGGGGCTTTTGCAGGAAACAACTCGTTCGTTTATTCATTCGTTCCATCGTGAAGATTTGTCTGTGTAACCCAGCCCTTCCCTGTGAGCACTACGTGTGGAAATATTTACTGGGCAGCTTTCCAGGATAGATAAGGTCTGAGCTAATTAGTATACCTTTGCAAGACTGTTTGCCAAGCCATTGGCTGAATGTAAATGCACTAAATTCACCTTTGTTTAATAAAAGAGGTTTTGACAGGACTCAGAGTTGGCTTAGTGCTTTTTGGGGAAGCCTAGGATAGAACAGGTACACTATAGAATTAGATAAATGTCAAAAACTTTGAGAAAGAAATTATAAATTGACAATGTCAACAGCTTATAAAGAAAATTTGTATAGAATGTTTTATAGGTGGCATTTGCCTCCAGCAAGGATGGCAAAGATGTTTCAAAACATATATCCCAAATGTTGGAAATGTAAACAGATACCGGGTTCAGTGGTGGGATTCAAAATTTACTACCACCAGTTCTGTGGTTCTGTGGCGTGGCTTGGTGGGTGTGGCTAGATGGTCATGTGACTGGGTGGGTGTGGTCAACTTGACGTCACTCACAGCAAGGCGAGGCAGCACCTTGCTGTGATGTTGAGTTAGCCACACCCACTCAATCACATGACCGATGCTGCAGAGACAGGGTGATTGCCTACGTACGTATCTTCCCCTCCCCTTCGCCCTTGGACTGACAAAATGACGAGGAGGAGACTTGGCCAAACTTTTCTGCCTCCTGCCCTCTCCATGCATGCACAAATGGAGAAACAGTGGCCATCAGCTGTTCCTTACTTTCCCCAGGGCGCACCGAACGCACGTGCAGATAACAGCAACATTGACTATCATCTGTTTCTTGCATTGCCGGTCACACCAAACACGCAATTCGCACGCATGCAGCAACACCATCACCATCAGCTGTTTCTTAGCTCATCTGAGACGTGGCAATCTGCTCTGCCATGCGAATCAGCTGAGCTAACAAACAACAGAATATAGGAGAGATGAAAGGAAAAAGTGGGGGTGGATGGGGCCGGTCAAAATTTCCCCTACCAGTTCTCCGAACCAGTCAACATTTTCCTTACCTGAACGCAAGAACTGGTCCAAACCCCCTGAATACCACCCCTGACTGGGTTTTTTTTAATCATATGTAGTGGACTTGCACGATGGCAAAAAAATATTGGGCAAAAATAAAACAGTGGCTAAAACAAATGACAAAACAACAAATATTAAAATCAGAAATGTTTTTGTTTGGTATTTTAAAATATAGCAAAAGAATTACATATTTAATTTTACATGTGATAACAGCAGTGAGAATTGTGTATACACATAATTGGAAAAATGAAAATATGCCTACAGAGGAAAATGTAATAAAGAAAATATTAGATTGTGCTGAAAGGGATAGTTTAACTTTGAAGATCAAGGATAAGGACATGGAATACTTTTTAACTTGAGAACTATTTTATCAATGGTTAGAATAGAAAATAGAAGCAAAAGTTAGAAAATTAAAATCAAGGAGGAAATGTAAATATAAATGCAGTAAGTGTATAACTAAATAATGAATGTTGAATAAATAGGATAAGGAAATGTGATTAATAGATTGGAGGATAATGGTGACAAATGTGATATTTATGTCTGGTATTAATTAACTATATGATAAAACTGAACAGAGTGATTAATTAAATAATGGAAATTGTTTAACAAGTGAAGATTATGATGAATAGATTGAGTGAATAATGGTTATAATTAATGTACGTATAAGGTTTGTTATTTGAATTTAAAAGAGATTGTACCCAGATAGTAACCTGCCATTGTGGATATGGAAATGTTATATATAACAATGGACATTGCGTAATAAAAAATAATTTTAAAAAGGATACCATATTTCTAGGCAGTATCAGAACCAGTACATAAAACTGGGTTTCTATTTTAGAAGTCAATGAATAGAATAAACTTTGCTAAGAGAGATAAACTAAAAGATGAATCAGGAAATTTCCAAATCCTCCATTGATTCATATGGAGACATTAAGCAATCCCTATTTCTTAAACACAAGGAAGGAAGGAAGCATTTCAACTGACCGAATAATCAGGAGATAATAAAACACTCCTTTTACTCGTTTTCAAAGTTGACTGTATTTAAACAACTATGTGTAGTGAAAAGAGAATTCAAAGCATTTTATATTCTGATATGTTTACACTTACTTAAAACATCTGCGTGAACACGGCAACTTCTGTTTCTGTTTTTCTTCTTTCTGTTTTGCTTCTAATTTATTTTGACTTAATGAATTTTCTGGGGTCTTTGAAGTGTTTATATTTTTTTCATTCTAAAAAAATAACAAAAATACTTTATTGTTGTTTTTATAAATTATAATTTATTAAAATATATATTTTATTAAACATCTAACTTCTAAACACAATGATTAATCTTAATTTTATATGGTATATAAATACTGTATTATTTTAAAATTTCCAATAGAACACTTACTGATTATAGCTCTTAGTATGATATTCGTGAACTTCAAAAATTCAATAATTGTCAAAAATAATTTGAATATACTATGCTGCTGGTAAAAATATGTAGTTATATTTGATTGAAATATGATCAGAAAATAGGAGTAGAAACAAATAGACATAAATGTAAATCATGAAGTACGTAATATTTATCATATTACAGATAGTTCTCAACTTACAACACTTGTTTAGTGACCATTCAATGTTACAATGGCACTGATAAAAATGACTGTTTTTCACACTTACTCACATTTTTATTACTTCATTGGCTCTTACGTTACTTAAGATACTATTCCCAATATTCTAGATCCATTAGTGTTTCTATTGATATATTCATGCCAAATCATCTACCACTATCTGTAAATATCTGTCATATGTTTTTAATTTTGACTTGATGGCATGAAGATTGAGCCTTACATATATTTTGAAATGTGTGAATTAATATTTAATATTTCAATGAATAAGACCAAAAATATCAAGAACTTTAAAAAAAAGTAAAATCTACATGATATTTTTAAAATCTTTTAAAAACATGTATCATTTCTTTATGTGTCACAATCACCAGGACAAGAACATAAAATGAATCAACCAAATTAGAAATTCTAAGTATAGAAACTGCTAACTGAAAAGGGACATAATGCTTTAATAGGTAATAAATGAAGTATAACACCTTTTCTCCAGAGGACACTGATTCAGATCTAGGACATTCACTCTCTTCCAGAAAGCACTGTTTCAGTTGTTTTATAGAGGGTGAAGGTTTGAAATTCCTTTCATATTCGGTTTCAGGGATAATAACAGGAGACTTAAATGGGGGAATGGATTGACTTGATCTGTGAATAAACTTTGGTTTATAAAATACATTAATTTTTTTTGTAAAGCTAAGTAACTTTGCCACTGAAATTAAAGAGACTTAGTGATGTTTAATCTCTGCTACATTATTGCAGAGAAGAAAAGTCTTAATCAGTTGATATGGAATGATCCAGCCATTTCCTTCAGGCAATACTACTCAAAATACAACAGTATATACCTGAGAAGTCAGCTAATAAAATCAATTATACAATATTTAGAACAAAATGGAGCATTTAGCATACAATGTAATACAACAAAAATGCAATACAACAAACAATAACTGAAAAAAGCCCCAATGAAGACATTATCCTGCATAGTAAATCTGCACTGAACAAGTATCACATTATTTTATTAAGACTTTAATCTACCTTCAAAGGAACTCACTGAGCAAAATTGACCTTGTTTTTATATTAAACTTTATAAAATTGTGCTATACTTTTCAAAAATGAAAACACTTCTTAAAATACTTAGTTACCTGATCTGCTGCAAGGACCGGAGAAAGCTTCTGTGGGGTTTTCCAAACAAACTCTCTTTGATACTCAGAACTTCTAGGGAAGCTTCTTGATCGTGAAATATTCATGCCTGCTCTCCTCTGTAGAACTCTGTTGAGCTGACAATCGACATTAACAATAAATTCAGAATGTCATTTCTTTTTGTGGTCTAATATCAGAGTTTTTTTTATCATTAATACTAAGATGAACTACGCTGATAAAAGCAAAGTATATTATGACATTCTGCAAGCGTTCTTATACACAAAAATGGAAACATACTTTTTACGTCTAAACCCTGGTCCTGTTAACATTAGCTGTCAAAACTGCCTTTGATTTAACATGACAGAAGTATTGGGAATATTTAGGCTCTCACATAAAGTCAGTGGCAATTTATTTACTTGAATAATGAAACAATATGCATGGACAGGTAATCCTCGACTTACAACAGTTTGTTTAGTGGCTGTTTGAAGTTACAACGGCACCAAAAAAAGTTACTTATAGCCATTTTTAACATTTATGATGGTTGCAGCTTCCCCATAGTCACTGATTTACATTTGGATGCTTGACAACTGACTTACATTTATGATGGTTGCAGTGTCCCGGAGTCACATGATTACCTTTTGCAACATTTTGACAAGCAAAGTCAATGGGGAAACCGGATTCACTTAATAACTGTGTTACTAATTTAACAACTTCAGTGATTCACTTAAGAAATGCGGCAAGAAAAGTCGTAAAATGGGACAAAACTCACTTAACAAATTTCTCATTTAGCAACAATAAATTTTGGGCTCAATTGTAGTCATAAATTGAGGACTACCTGTAAACAATTATTTTAAACCATTATGTCAACATTAGCTTTCTTGACTGCTTCTTCTTTATTATGTTTTTCCTTTTGGCTAATTTATATTGCTTATATGGGAGTTTAGGGGAAATCTATCAAATTTGTATGATTAAATTCTTAGTAAAAAATTATAGAACATTACAATTTTCTTCATATTTCTTCCTTGGGTTTTCTCTTATGTTATTTATAATCCTTTAATTTTCTGGTGTTTTTTTCTATTGACCTGATATTTTAGCCTTCTTTCTGTAAACATTGCTTCCTTCTTTTTTCAAGCCCTCAAGGGGATTGCTTGCTTTAGCCTTTGTTAGAATCCAAAGATTCTTGCACCTCTCCTAGTGTAATGATTACTTTTCCTGAACTGAGCATTTTTCAGATGTGTAGACTCTGATTTCCAGAACTTTCAGCAATTGCCATCCTGGCTCTCTGGAAAATTCTGCAAATTGAAGTTCATGAATCTGGAATGCATCCAGGCAGGGAAGGTTGTATTGTGCATATTAACAAAGTTACAATGAATTGATTACAATGAACTTTAACTCACAACATCAAATCAAACTTTTTTTTTACTTCCTACCCCATGATCTGTTTTTCCTAATTCTTTTTTGGTAGATGCTAATATTTTATTTTCATGCACTGGAGTTTGGGGCACTGACTTCTTGCTTCTTCTAAGTGCTTCAGCTGATTCAGGTCCAGATCCTGCAGAGTTGAGAGGCAGTTTTTCAGGAAGCCTGGGTGCATCCGGTGTCTCAATTGGGTCCTTATTCAGTTCAACATCCTTGCTGTTGGTTTTGTGCAATTCGACTGGCTCATTGACTTCCAATGCTGATAATGCATCTTTCTCCAAGCTATTACCTCCATTCCATTGAAAAGATTTTGAAATTTGTGTGTCATAATAAGGCACTCTTCTCTTGGAAATAAAATTTGGTTCTCTTGTGATCCCTGTAATATACGTAATATCAAATACTCTGAAAATTCTGAAAAAGAACGTGAGCATCACTCTATTTCTTTTGCATGCATGCAGAAGAAAAGAAAAATATAAACAAGCTGTCATATACAAAAACATTTCATCAAAGAAATGCTTCTTTTAGTTTGGATAACACCTAATAACAGTGGTGGTATTCAATTTTTTTTCCCTACCAGTTCTGTGGGAGTGGCCTGGTGGGGGAGGTCATGTGACTGAATTGGCATGTCCAACTTGATGTCACTCACGCCCACGCCCACGCAGTCACATGACCTCCTCCACCAAGCCACGCCCACAGAACCCGGTAGGAAAAAAAAATGATTTTTCTACCTATCTACCTATTTTTTGCCCAGTCAGGCCTGGCCTAATCTGTCAAAGGCCTGACCTAATCCTGCATTCCGCCCACACTCCCTTCACCAGTCACATGCGTCACCCCATTTCCCCTCTTTCAGTTTTTGCTGCTTCTTTGCCAGCCAGAACTGAGCCAGGAGCGGCAGATTCTCCTGCCAGCAAAGAAATGGTGGCTGAAGGTTTCTCGCGCCACTTTTTGCCAGCGTGAAGGGCCTGCAGTAGCCACTTCATTGCCAGCCGGAACTGAGATGGGAGCGGCAGCTAGAGGATTTGCCTGCCAGCAAAGAGGTGGCAGCTGCAGGCTTCTTGGCGGGGGGACGACACGGCGAGTCTCGGCTTGGAGTCGGAAGGCAGCTCCTGCACCCTGCCTGTCCCTTTTTGGTCCCCCCTCCATGTCGAAGTACCTTAAAGGACAAGCTGGAGCAGCTGCCTTCCGAGCAGCAGCAGAGCGAAGGGAGGCATAAAAGTTCACCCAAGTCTTCTCCTCCTCCTCGGACATACACAGAGCGTGTGTGCATCTCATGGTGCTGGAGGGACTCGCCCACGCACCATCTCCTTGCAGGAGGTCCCGGCCTCATGTGTGTACATGTGAGGTCCCAGGACCTTCTGCTAGAAGATGGGTTGGCTCTGTTCCAGCTGGCAAAGAAGAAAAAGCTGGGACTTGCTGTCCCAATGGTGCACCCCATTGCCTGCTGCTTGCCCAAGGAAGTCCCTCCACCGCAGCAGGCAATGGAGTGCATGGCCGGTGCAAAGAACAGGGCAGCGATAACGTCGGGACTTCCACTTTTTTGGCATGTTCGAAAAGCGGAGGCCGGTAGTTTTTGGTGCAAGAAGCCTGCAGCCGCTGTCACTTTTTTTCAGCATAAGAAGTCTGCAACCAGCCAGCTCAGTTCTGGCTGGCAAAGAGGCATCAGCTGGGAGGCTTCTCACACACAAAAAAAAGAGGCAGTGGCTGCAGGCATCTCACAAGGGGGGGCGAGATGTGGGCTGGTGGGGAGCCCAGCAGCTCTCAGCCCTGGCTTGCCTTCCCTGGAAACCAGCCACAGGGGGGAGGTAAGGTTGCGGCCACAGACGACGAAAGAGGCAGTTGTAGGGGAAGAAGTGAGGAGATTAAGGGCCAGGCCTCTGAAGGAGGGGAAACTGGGTGATGTGTCGCACTTAAGGGAGAGCGGGTGGCGAGCAGGTGGTGGCTCCGGTCAAAGATCAGAACCGGGGAATCACACATTCCTCAACCCGGCCAAGGCAGGCAGCGGCTCCAGGGCCTCTGGGAATAGCGCATCCCTGGCCGGGGCTCCCGAAGAGTGAGCAGGTGGCATTCATTGCTTGCCTTTGGTGAGCAGAGCTGACCAGGCATCGGCAAGGCAACTGGCGAGGCGATTAGCTGGACCACATGGTGAAGGCAACATATATAGGGCGGGGTGGGCAGGGCAAGCATTGAGCACCCAGAAAAGGTGAGCGAGCATCAAGCAGCCAGAAGGGGTGAGCGAGCAGTGACCAGGCGACTGAGTCAGGGATGTGGCCAGCCAGAAGTCGCTACCAGTTCAGCAACCCAGGCCAAATCGTTGCTACCGATTCTCCCGAACTGGTGCGAACCGGCTGAATACCACCACTGCCTATTAGTATATTAACCTCCAGTCTTACTATTTTTTTTACTGCCAAATACATATCAAACAACGAAGAGTTAATTATTTTGACCAAATATCTAAGTACACTGCTCAAAAAAATAAAGGGAACACAAAAATAAGACGTCCTAGATTTGAATGAATGAAATATTCTTATTAAATACTTTGTTCATTACATAGTTGAATGTGCTGACAACAAAATCACACAAAAATTATCCATGGAAATCAAATTTAGCAACCCATGGAGGTCTGGATTTGGAGTTACACTCAAAATTAAAGTGGAAAAAACATTACAGGCTGATCCAACTTTGATGTAATGTCCTTAAAACAAGTCAAAATGAGGCTCAGTAGTGTGCGTGGCCTCCACGTGCCTGTATGACCTCCCTACAACACCTGGGCATGCTCCTGATGAGGTGGCGGATGGTCTCCTGTGGGATCTCCTCCCATACCTGGACTAAAGCATCCCCCAACTCCTGGACAGTCTATAGTGCAACGTGGCGTTGGTGGTTGGAGCGAGACATGATGTCCCAGATGTGCTCAATTGGGTTCAGGTCTGGGGAACGGGCGGGCCAGTCCATAGCATCAATGCCTTCGTCTTGCAGGAACTGCTGACACACTCCAGCCACGAGGTCTAGCATTGTCGTGCATTAGGAGGAACCCAGGGCCAACCGCACCAGCATATGGTCTCACAAGGGGTCTGAGGATCTCATCTCGGTACCTAATGGCAGTCAGGCTACCTCTGGCGAGCACATGGAGGGCTGTGCGGCCCCCTAAAGAAATGCCACCCCACACTATTACTGACCCACTGCCAAACCTGTCATGCTGGAGGATGTTGCAGGCAGCAGAACGTTCTCCACGGCATCTCCAGACCCTGTCACGTCTGTCACTTGTACTCAGTGTGAACCTGCTTTCATCTGTGAAGAGCACAGGGCGCCAGTGGCGAATTTGCCAATCTTGGTGTTTTCTGGCAAATGCCAAATGTCCTGCACGGTGTTGGGCTGTAAGCACAACCCCCACCTGTGGACGTCAGGCTCTCATACCACCCTCATGGAGTCTGTTTCTGACCGTTTGAGCAGCCACATGCACATTTGTGGCCCACTGGAGGTCATTTTGCAGGGCACAGGCAGTGCTCCTCCTGTCCCTCCTTGCACAAAGGCGGAGGTAGTGGTCCTGATGCTGGGTTGTTGTCCTTCTACGGTCTCCTCCACGTCTCCTGATGTACTGGCCTGTCTCCTGGTAGCGCCTCCATGCTCTGGACACTATGCTGACAGACACAGCAAACCTTCTTGCCACAGCTCGCATTGATGTGTCATCCTGGATGAGCTGCACTACCTGAGCCACTTGTGTGGGTTGTAGACTCCGTCTCATGCTACCACTAGAGTGAAAGCACCGCCAGCATTCAAAAGTGACCAAACCATCAGCCAGAAAGCATAGGAACTGAGAAGTGGTCTGTGGTCACCACCTGCAGAAACACTCCTTTATTGGGGATGTCTTGTTAACTACCTATGCTTTCTACCTGTTGTCTATTCCATTTGCACAACAGCATGTGAAATTGATTGTCAATCAGTGTTGCTACCTGTGGACAGTTTGATTTCACAGAAGTGTGATTGACTTGGAGTTACATTGTGTTGTTTAAGTGTTCCCTTTATTTTTTGAGCAGTGTATATTCTCCTTCAATCTTAACAGGAACCAAGTTAATTTAGTATCTAAAATTGTTGTGTTTTTAATGGTATCTAATGGAATCTTATGAACCCAAACTATGAAACTGTGTTTATCCCTACTGCATGATAAAATTTATTTGATGAAATCTGGATAATTAGTATGTAAAAAGCAGTAACTATTGCAAGTATTTCTTTTACAAGAAATACATAATAAAATATTTGTCTTACCAAATTCATCTGATCGAAGGCCAGCCCATTGGCACTTTTGTCCATGTGTAGAATTGCAGTGTATAGGCTGTTCTGACTGCTTCCATTTGAAGTTTCTTTTGTACTCACTTAATCCCTACAATAATATAAAATGCAAAATAGTAATTTTATGCCTTATTTCTTCCAAACTCAATAAAGTCACAACCTGGAAGAATTGATGTAAGCATTTTTACTTGACATGAAAAGGTCAAATCATCTTTTATAACAGTAAAAAATAAAGACAAAAGATTTCATCAACAGGTTTTCCTATTTATATGATTTGACTCTACCTGAATCCACTATCATATATTTGCATAAATTCAGTTACATTCACACTTTGAATATGCCTATCTTATTTCCTTAAGTAGTTTATTATGTATACACAGTTCCTTCGTATAGTAACATTTACTTTAGTACTAATAGGAAATGTCTTGCAGAAAGGAAACAAAATTTATTAAATTTGTACTTCAGATTACTTAACCATCAGAATCTAACTTCACATCATGTTTGAGATTATATATGTACTCCTTGATTTACAATCACAATTGGGAGCAGAATTTCTGTCATTGTCACTACAGTCACTAAAGTTGCTGGATCCAATTGTCATTGCTAATATGTTGTATGTTTCAACCTATGTTTATACACCTACTGTCATGGGTAAAATTCTACTGTGTAACAATAAATCTGAAACCTGCCAATCTTACACATGTTGTACCTGCAGAGCAAATAAAATGGATTAATATCAGCAGGAAAAAATAAATTAAAAGGTACAAAATGTTTGTATAAGCTATGTGCAAGTGCAATGTAATTTTTATTGCTTGTGAAAGTGTTAAACATAAATTAATATTCATCTGTATTTCAAATGCCTTGAAACTTGTGTCTACTTTTTCTTAAAAGCCACTCAACTTTATCTTTATTTCATACTTCTGTGGCTTTGTAAATTAGCTTTTGTCTGAACTACTGCAAACTGAATTATGTATTTTTTTATCTTTATCACTCACAATGGTTACACTGTCATCCTTATTTCCACAAATTTAGGACATCATGTCATATTCAATTCACCACCTCTCCAAACTCCAAGCGAAGAATCCAAATAACACTTCCCACAGCTCAACTCATCCCACAAATATCCAAGAGGTTTTCTGCTACATTCTTGGGCTGTTCCAATTCATTTCAGTAACACACTGGGATAGACCATATATCATGCCCAAGATGCAAAGATAGTCAGTCATCTTCTATTCTAAACGATACAATTGAATTATGATACTATCCTTGCCTTTATCTAACATTCCCACCTTTTCCTTTGGCAGGCTCCAATTTTAAATGTACTGATAGGCATTAGACTAATTTATTGTTATACTATAATTCTTTCCATTTGAGCCCAAGCAGAGCAAACAATGGACTTTCCCGTCGTCGTACAGCTTTTAGCACCTGAATAAGGACCCTGAATAAGGAGAGACCCAGCCTTAAGACTTACCACCGATCCCAGTTTCCCATGCCAGCTCATTCCCGTTGGTAACCACATACTAACTAACTCAGATAGGCTACTGAGCTCTCTGCCTTCCTATCCTGGGGTCCACTTAGGCTGGGCTTGGCGAAAGGTCAGCGAGACAACCAACCGCCGCCGACCCGAGTTATTTGGTGGAGGAGAGGGAACAACCCCCCGGAGCGGCGACAATGAGCGCTTCTCTTGAAACGACCAATAACGCAACGGCCAATACCAAATATGCGCGAGGGGAGGAGAGGAGAGGAGAGAACGGAAGCTGAGCGCTTGTTCTAGCTTAAAGTTGCTGAGCTCTAGCTTAAAGAAGCCTCTCGCTGGGGACACGGCGGCAGCCCCCTCTCACCTTCCAGCGTACAGGCATGATTCTTCGCCTGGCTGGAACGAGACGTGGGCAACGAAAACCTGCAAGTCTTCTAAGGAAAAAAAAAAAAGAAGGCGGTTGCGATGGTAGCAGAGGAGGACTCAACAGCCGTAAACACTGGCGTTTCCTTGACAAAAAGCCCCGCGGCCTACTTGGCTCCGGCCCTTGGACGCCTGCGCGAGAAGCCACCAATCAGAGCCTCTAGCCGCGCCTCTAACTCTGCCCTTTCCAACTATCGGCGGGCAGTCCCGAGCTGGAGCGCTTTCTTTGCCGCATGCGAGGGGAAGGGCGGCTTAATGTTGATCTCCTCTCTTGGAGAGATCTCTATAATCGTCTTTTATTCCTCCTAAGTGGTTGTTACCGCTGTAGGATAAGGTGGGTTTATACTCGGATTCGTGGCCAAATAAATAATGGTGAATGGGATGGCCTTACGATATTTACCCCAAATCAGATTGCTGAGATAAAATGAGACAGAAATGAGCAATACTCGCATGTGTAATTAATGTGTAATTAATACCGCTTCCCTTCCACGTTGCTTAGTTGTAAAAGTCTTGGAAAGAGATTCGAGTGAGGATTACCGGATATTTATTGAGGCAAAGGAGGATTTAGAGAATTGGAAAGGAGGAGGATGAATGGGGTAAAGCAGGACACACCAACTGCTTAATCTCTTGTCATCTGCAACAAAAATTACATTGAAAAACCCGGAAAAAATGTATTTAGACCTACATGTATATAAAATCACTTTTACAAGAAAACCTGAGTTTTTTTGTCTTGCTGAATCTTTCCAATACATTTTTGTTTTCAAGAACGTGCTAGTGATGATAAAGAATTCAGAAAAACATGCTTTTCTTCACCATAGAAACATAATGAGTCGTGGTTTACAGACTACAGTAATCATACATATGAAGGGTGCAGATTGAAAGAAAGGGGATGGAATCAGGAAATAATGTAAATCTAGGCTGTGAGTCTCAATAGGCAAGGAAAAGAAAAACAATTTACAGTGGCACATTCATAAATGTTTTAATGGCTACTATTATTAAAATAGTCCAAAATAATACCAGACAATATTTAATTTTAAGGCTGTCTGCGGAGGGAACATGTCCTCCTTTTCCCAAATAACTGATAACCCTGTCAGATGTCACGTCTATACCTATACAAACTTTTAAGCTCAATTTACAACCAATCATTTAGTGACCAAGTTACAATGGCACTGGAAAAACTGACATGATACCCACTTAAAACCACCACAGCCACGCCTTCCATGCCCTGACACCTGTCGCACCACTTCCTGAGTTCTGTTTGCAGCCACTCATGGCAGGAGGTTGCATGGTGTGTTGTGTTATTGCACGTGCGAGCAGCAGCACTGGTGCGACAAGCCTTGTGTTGTTCTACAAGTAGCAGCACTGGTGCAATGCGCCACGTGGTTTCTGGCCACAAGTGGCTGCAGAATAAGTCTGGCAGTGTGGGAGGCCCAGCTGCAGCAGTCCTCCAGTAAGAGGACATGGGGGGGCAGCTCCACCCCCCTTCCCCCCAGCTTTATACACCTGTGCCTTGTCCCACCTCCTACAAGCAGGCAGCGGCCGGGATTTAACTAAAGCTTATTTTGGGGGTAGGGCTTGGATTAGGCGGAGGCGTGAAAATTGGGTTGTTTGGGGGCTAGATCCTATTTTTGGGGAAACACAGTATTTTAATTAACTATTGTGTTTACAGACCTTTGATTTATGAATTAGGTCTAGATAACTTATTTGGGGGATTGAGGAAGTTTGAGTTTGCTATTTTTACTTGATTAACTTATTCAGCTTTACTGTCAATTATCTAATGGAGATGCTGATTCTCAGTCCATTGTAGTTTCTGTTAATGTTAAAGGAAAGATGGAGACAGTATAAAGAATAAAATATATTTTGATATAAAACTTTCCACACAACTGTGATGAGAAATCATAAAATGGGGCAAAATTCAATGTCTCACTTATCAGTCCTCACAATTTTGACTCATAAGTTAAAGGGAACTTAAATCTAGGTATGAAAAGCATAGGACTAAATTCCAACTAGGAACAAAGAATTGTTCAAAAAGAGCAAAATATATTATACATTTTAGTGAATTCTGGTCTATTCTTTTTAGCATATTTGTCATGCCCCTGTCAGAGTCTGAATCTAAGGAGGAAGTTGAACCGCAGACAGGGAGTAGGAATGTGGCTCCGTTGGCTGTGGAGGAAACTTCGGAAGGGCAAAGTCCAGCTGGGCAGAGCAGGGGAGAGGTAGAACAAGGGAGGGGGAATTCAGAGGAAGACCCAGGCCCATCCCCTCTTCATCCTAGGGCAGGCAGGGAGGAATGGAGAAGAAAGCAATGTGAGTTGCGTGGCATACGGGGGAGGAAAGGGCCCTGATTCCCTTCATTAACTGCAGCTGGGAACACAGTTTATAAAAAAGGCAAAATGCGTGCGGCAGGCTGTTGGAAGCAAACGTAACTATCTTGTGTTGTCATGGCTTCTCTGTGTTCATGGCGTCTTCCCAACCATGTGAGTTTTGCCATGCTTTCAAGTTTGAAATTTTTGCTCCTGCCCTGCCAAACTAATTACTTCAGTTTGGCTTGTTTGACTTTAAGTTATAGTTTGTGTTTACCCTGTTTTGGACTCCATTTTCTACATTCAAAGGCTGTTCCTGGGATAATTTTTCTCCAGCCAGAAGACCTGGACATTGGGGGCAAAGTTGTAGATAATAAAGGGACTCATTGATTTTCTGACTGTGTTGCCTTTGTGCCACGCCTGGGTCATCACAATATATTTTTTAAGCCATAATCTCATTTTTAATAAGTAAGGTTAAATTTACTATAGAGTAACTAGTTGGATGCATTTCAAATTACTCAGGAGATGTAAACCTGAGCAGAAAATAGCTGGTGTGCCACTTACTATGCTAATGATTACTTTTGGAATTGTGCAAAATAGCAGCTGTTCTTTAAGAATATATGCAATTTGTAGATGTAAGCATGCAATCATTGTAGTGGGCAGAGGCCCAGGTTATTAAGTTGCATTATTGCACAGCCCTGCATGTTGTTCTTTATGTAATAACAAAATGCCTTATAATGAAATTATATTTTTGAAAATGTCAAATTTAAACAAAATAAAATGATCCAAGGTTACCAAAATACAGATCTGTGTATTAATAGATGTTAGTAGTATGCACAGTTTTCGGTTTATGCATATGAAATCATTGTAATAAAAGGGAAAGGAAAGATATCATGAAATAATTTATTAATGTTCATCTATCTATACACTACTAAAATTTTCTTTCCTGTAACTTTAATTGAGCGAAATGGTGCACCAGTAGGGCAAAACATTTTGAACCAAGATAACATCAAATGGGCTAACATAAAAATGCATCCAAAACTGGCCACCTTGGGAAATCTTCTTGACTGTAGTTTGTAGAATTTCAGTGGTGGCCAAAATATGTAATAATGGTGTGATTTTCTTTCCTTTGAATTATGCTATCTATTATCTCTTTTTTTTTCCACAATATTTTTTTTAACAGCAAATTCCTTTATCTCCAAATTGTTGAATTCAAAAATACAATATATGTGCTCTGTGCTTGTAGGGTGGTTGTGTATGTTTAGCACACAGTCACATATATTTTTGGAGCTGCTGACTGCATATAAGAACAGAACCAGAAGTGGTATTCAGCAGGTTCTGATGAGTTCTGGAGAACCGGTAGCGGAAATTTTGAGTAGTTCAGAGAACCGGCAAATACCGACTGGAGATTTTTACAGTATCCTTCCCTGCCATGCCCATCAAGCCACGCCCACAGAACCTGTGGAATTGAAATTTGGCAGATTTTATAACAATTTTATGACATAAGAATTATAACACAATTTATAATACAAAATATCATAAACATTTCCCATGCTGATGTTTGACTAGTTCAATATGGGCTATTTTCAAGGCAAATACATATCTGAAAGTATCCCAACTTTTCCAGTGAAGACAGAAACACTGTCAGTATTGAAGGAAATTACCGTATCTTTTGGACTATAAGACACAGTTTTTCCTCCCAAAAAAGTGGGTGGAAATGTCTGTGTGTCTTATAGAGCAAATATGGGCCTGTTTCTGACCTCCATGCATCCAGAAGCACTCTAAGGCCAAAAACATGCCCGTTTTTGGCCTCTGGGAGTTCTGTTTTCAGCCTCCTTGGGAGGGCAAAAACAGGACCCATGGAAGCCTCTGCAGGCCAAAAATGGGCCCGTTTTCGGTCTGCAGAGTGCTTCTGGACCCTGGGGAGAGCAAAAAGAGAACATGCGGAAGCAAAGAACTATTTTTTTCTTGTCTTTCTCCTCTAAACCTAGATGAGTCTTATGGTCCGGTGCATCTTATAGTCCGAAAAATATGGTAGCTAAGAAACAGCTCTGAAAGGATGATCCAATGGGTCATCAGCTGTGTAGTTCCCTCATATAACTTTATATAACTATAAAAATAATTTTATATAAGTATAACTAAAGAGGTAGTAGTTAGCTTATACTAGCATGATGCCATGTTAAGGACTCATATTGTAGCAACTTATGCTTTATTTCCTTACAAGGGAAAACTTTTGTTCGATAAACGTCCATTCCCTCTTTTAAATTAAATATTTCATACTTTACCAATTTAAATCAGCATCAAGAGCAAACTATTAAGTGTTGCCAGTAGGTGGCAGAGTAAAATAGATTGAGTTTCATGTGTATTATTTAAAAATAATAAACATTGCTTGTTCTGTGTCAATTTCTAAAACTGATTTAAAACCAGTGAAAAACATATTGCACCAAGTTACAATACGTTAAGATGTCTATTTTTCCTTTTTCCGACCATCAGGTGTTCTGTGCCAGGAGATTTAGATTAACTAGGAAGCAGGAAATGGTTGCATTTCTTGCTTTCTAGTCTTTAGATCTTGGGTTCTGTGTTTAAGCACAGCTGAACCTCCCTTAGAACTGAAGGTTCTATTATTCAGTGCAGACTCACAGCAAGCAAACTGAGAGACTGAGCTAGCCAATGGCAGATAAATAGATCACTGAATGATTCTGTGAGCAACTCAATCTGCCTGCCTGCTTTGCCTAATTTTGGGTAAAAGTTGCTCTTTTTTATAAAAAATTCAATATTTACATACATGGTGTGTTGTGAGTTAATTT